AGCTTTAGGGGCTGGGTGAAGGCCTCTTGGCCTTGGGCTTCAGTTCTGCCTCTTGCTCCCGGCCACTGGTGCTGAGAGTGTCTCTTAACTCAGGCAGCTGCTGGCTTCTGGGGCTGAAAAACACAAGGTCAGCAAGTAAAATGGCACAGTCCCAAGATTATCAAACAACACTGCAGGCCACTAATTCAAGTCCAGAAACAGTCCCAAGATAGGCAGACAGCATGTCAGGCCACTCACTGATGGCTAAATGCAGGATCCAGATGTGCCAGGAAGCTCTAGACCTTGCTTAAATGTCCTCTTATACACTGGAAACAGCACGTCCCTGAGGCAGCTACTCAGCTGCTCACAGCAAATTCCACCATGGAATTGATTACCAGTTTCATCATAGGGAATCACTACATCCTTAACTACCAGACTTAGTGTATGATGAAACAAAATATAGTGTATTTTTGAAGTTTCAGCTTCTGATGCCCCAGAGCCAGGTCAGAATGGAAGTTCTTATCAGGAATAGGTCTAAAGATTCCGACTGTTGTTGTGTGACATTGAGTTGATTTCCACTCATAGTGACCATGTAGGATGGAGTAGAACTGTACTATTCCATTTCCCAGGCTGTACTCTTTATAGAAGCACATTGCCAGGTCTTTTCACTTGTGGAGCAGCTGGTAAATTCAAATGTCTGAACTTTTGTCAGCCAAGTTCTAAACCATTGTACCACTAGGTCTCTGCCCCCTGCCCACCCATAAAGATTACAGTCTAGAAAACCCTATGAGCCAGTCCTAATCTGTCACATGGGGTCACTAGGAGTCAAAAATAAACTTCAAGGCACCCAACAACAACATATTTTCTTAGTCCTTTCACTTTTCCATTCTTCTAGGCAAGTAATCCACCACTCATCTGTCAGTTTGTCACATTGTGGTGGCTTGCATGCTGCTGTGAGGCTGGAGGCTATGCCACCGGTATTTCAAATACCAGCAGGGTCACCCATGGTGGACAGGTTTCAGCAGAGCTTCCAGACTAAGACAGACAGGAAGGGGCCATCTACTTCTCAAAGAATTAACCAGTGAGAACCTTTGAGTAGCAGCAAAACGCTATCTGATACATTACTGGAAAACTTTATGAATAGCCCTGAAACACTGTTTGATATAGTGCTGGAAGATGAGCCCCTCGGATCTGCAGGCACTCAAAATATGACTGGGGAAGAACTGCCTCCTCAGGGTAGAGCCAACGTTAATGATGTAGGTAGAGTAAAGCTTTGGGAACCTCTATTTCCTGATATGGCATGACTCAAAATGGGAAGAAACAGCTTCAAACATCCATTAACAATCAGAACATGGAATGTATGAATTATGAATCTAGGAAAATTGGAAATTGTCAAAACTGAAATGGAAAGCATAAGATCAATACCCTAGGCATTAGTGAGCTGAAATGGACTGCTTTTGACCATTTTCAATCAGATAGCCATGTGGTCTACTATGCTGGGAGTGATAAATTGAAGAGGAATGGAGTGGGATTCATCATCAGAAAGAATGTGTCAAGATCTATCCTGAAGTACAATGCTGTCAGTGATAGGATAATATCCATATGCCTATAAGGAAGACCAGTTAATACTGTCATTCAAATTTATGCACCAACCGCAAAAGCCAGAGCCAAGGAAATTGAAGATATTTACCACCTTCTGCAGTCTGAAATTGACTGAACATGCAATCAAGATGTGTTGATTATTACTGATAATTGGAATGCAAAAGTTGGAAACAAAGAAGGGTCACCGGTAGTTAGAAAATATGGCCTTTGGGATAGAATGACACTAGAGATCGCATGATAGAATTTTGCAAGACCAACTACTTATTCATTGCAAATACCTCTTTTCAACAATATAAACAGTGGCTATACATGTGGATTTCACCAGATGGCATACACAGGAATAAAATTGACTACATCTGTGACAAGAGGCAATGGAGAAGATCAATATCTTCAGCCAAAATAACACCAGGAGCTGACTGAGGAACAGACCATCAGTTGCTCATATGCAAGTTCAAGTTGAACTGAAGACAATTAAAACAAGTCCCTGACAGCCAAAATGTGACCTTGATTATATTCATTCTGAATTTAGAGACCATCTAAAGAATAGATTTGACACATTGAACACCAATGACTGAAAACCAGAGGAACTGTGGGATGACATCAAGAACATTGTCAATGAAGAAACCAAAAGTCATTAAAAATACAGGAAAGGAAGAAAAGACCAAAATGGATGTCAGAAGGGACTCTGAAACTTGCTCTTGCACAGAGAGTAGCTAAAGCAAATGGAAGAAATGACAAGATAAAACAGCTGGACAGAAGATTTCAAAGAGCAGCTCGAGAAGACAAAGTCATTATAACAAAATGTGCAAAGAGCTCTGGAGGTATAAAACTGAAAGGGAAGAGCACACTTGGTGTTTCCCAAGCTGAAAGAACAGAAGAAAAAAATGAAGCCTCAAATTGCAATATTGAAAGATTCTATGGACAAAATACTGAATGATGCAGGAAACATCAAAAGAAAATGGAAGGAATACACAAAATCAATGTACCGTAAAGAATTGGTCAATGTTCATCCATTTCAGGAGGTAGCATATGATCAAAAATAGATGGTATTGAAGGAAGAAGTCAAAGCTGCAGTGAAGGAATTGATGAAAAACAAGGCTACAGAAATTGAAGAAATACCTCTTGAGATGTTTCAACAAACGGATGCCACACTGGAGGCAATTACTGGTCTATGCCAAGAAATTTGGAACACAGTTACCAGGACCACTGACTGGAAGAGATCTATATTTGCACCCATTCCAAAGAAAGGTGATCCCACAAGATGGATTGACACGGTGGCTGCAATGATGCACTCAAGTATAGCAGGGATTGTGGGGCTGGCGTGGGATTGGGCAGTATTTTGTTCTGCTGTGCATGGGGTCACTATGAGTCGGAAACGACTCAACGGCACTTAACAACAACAACATCATTAATATCACATGCAAGTAAAATCTTGCTGAAGATAATTCCAAAAACAGTTGCAGCAGTATATTGACAGAGAACTTCCAGAAATGCAAGATGGATTCAGAAAATGACATGCAATGAGGGGTATCATAGTAACCTTGTGTACAATAGAATGAAACACTTCCTGGTCCTGCATCATCCCCACAATTGTTGCTGTGGTTGAGCCCGTTGTTGCAGACACTGTCAATCCATCTTGTTGAGGGTCTTCTTTTTCGGTCATCTTTTACCAAGCATGATATTTTCTCCAGGGACTGGTGCCTCCTGATAACATATTCAAATATGTGAGACTAACTCTAATGCTCCCTTCTGAGGGTCATTCTGGCTGTACTTCTTCCAAGACAGATCTGTTCATTCTTTTGGCAGTCCATGGTATACTCAGTATTCTTCTTCACCAACATTCCATGAATTGTGTGGGCCATTATAGAGAATTAATGAACAATCAAGGAGCAGTGAGACTCTGACCTCACTCAGGATAGCTTAGTCAGAGAAGGACTGTTGAGGCAGTCAATTTGTAAAGACCCAGCTCTGGGTAGTTGGTGGGAAGGGCTGCCCAGGCAGTAGATGAAACAGGACAGAGTCCTTCTGGCTTATGACCTAGCCCAGGGAGTTAGAGAGAGCAGGGTATGGCTGGCTGCTGTGAAGTGCAAGGTGTTGTGCAGACTTCTGATGTTCTGGCATCAAGTGGCCAGGGATGTTTTAACCCGGCTCAGGGTGGCTGGGGATGAAGAGTACCTAACTCTAGGTGGTTAGGGTCAGTGAGAGGAAGTGCCACAGAAATGGCTGGCTATGAGGAATGGAGATGTAGGAAGGTGAAGCCTGGGTCCACTGTCAGGTGAGAATTGGATTTATAGTTATTCTGGCCATACAGTTAGTGATTAAGTTGGGGTTTGCACACCTTGCTGCTTTAATTGTATAGTTAATAGCATTGTAGCCTCTACATTAGATTATCTCCAGCCCATCTTACAAAAGAAAGAAAGAAACACCTCTTAGTGAAAATCCATGTACAAGTGTTTGTATGGATTTATGCTTTCAGTTCTCTTGAGTAGATACCTAGGAGTGGAATGACTGGATCATATGATAGGCATATATTTTACTTTGTAGGAAACAGATAAACTGTTTCCAAAGCAGTTATGCCATTTTATACTCCCACCAGCAATGTGTGAGCATTCTAGTTTGTGAGAAATTCACTCTTGTTCTGAGCATAGGTTATATTTTTCCAGTACATTTTCAGTTGCCTAAATTACAGATGAAATATTTTGTTTCTAAATTCCTTTTTCTCTTTAATTTAGGCATTTTCTCTGCAGATTTACTTTCTTAAAGCAAACCTAAAGAATAGTCTAGCAATATAAGTTGTTTAAAGAATGACAATGCTAATTCTCCCTTTTTTGGTATACATAAAGAAACATTCATATGAGATAGATGTATATAATTTCTGAGAATAGTCAAGATTTATTAAAGCCATAAAGGCAGTCTCACAACCATATGAACAGTGTTTTCCCATTGATGAGAAAGAACAAATCACCAAAACTATATATGCTTGTGTGTATGTATTTTTTAAAAGTACTAATACGTGTTCAAAAGAATAACTACATTGAGCTATTAACACTGTGGGAGGAAGTGGTGTAGACAGAGACATAAAGGAGACTTCACCTTTTTGCTCTTTATATTTGAGTATTTCCCAGTGAGCATTGTTCAATTATTATGTGATTTTTAACAGAAAAAAAAAAAATCCGTACAGAATAAGCCACACATCACTCAGTTTTCTTTTCTTTTGCTTTAGTCATTTGCTTTCTGCTCTGTACCAGCCTGTTGTTAGATGGACTTCCTGTGCAGTTTTACAGATATAAAAATGCAAGTGTTTTGATGAGCAAACAGTGCTAAACTTTAGCATTTTAAACTTTAAATGGCCATGCTGTTTTGCCTTTGATGTTAAAAAGGTTTAGTTGTATACTCAAAGAGAATCTGTTGTTTTTCAGGAGATATTTTTAGCTGCCATGCAGTTGACAATCCCAGACCCAATTCAGAGCTTGAGATGCTCAGACAATATGGACCAAACGTGCCCGAGCCAATCCTTCAGAAGCTTGTGGCTGCCTTTGGAGAGCTGAGGACCTTGGCTGACCAGGGGATTATTAACTATCCTTATTCTACCAGAGAAGTCGTCAACATAGTCAGACATCTACAGGTACGGCACACATCTGTGCATAAGGTTTTCAAAGAAGCCATCATTGTACCTTTCTCAGATGTGTCATTTACCTCAGGGCTTCCAATTTCTATAGATATAATGACATAGATGATATGAAGTGTTTGTGACCTAAATCATAAATCTGGAAGACAATGAGCATTATCTGTTCAGCCATTGAATTGAATTTGGCAAGGTTTTCTGTCAAGGCTATTACCAAGGAGCTAGATATTTAGTGCAGTATTATTATGGTTTTTTGGGGGGCAGAGGGGACAAGAATGAGAGAGTGAGGAAACTTTCCTATTCTGTTGTTTGATTTTTCACAACAAGCATATGGAATCAGTGTAAAAAATACTTTTGTTTTGAAAGCAAAAGACTAGAACATAAAAGTAAAGTAAGAACTAGTGGTATTGACTATATACCTGTAAATATTGGCAAAAAAAGTTTGACAAGATACAGTATATGGGCAGGAAAATGAAATTCTTTGAGGCCATGTACAATGTGTACAACCAAAAAAAACACATATAAATTCTACTTACATAGCGAATAATGGTCTTTAAGGTAAAAGACTAAGACAGATTCAGAAGAAGGAAGAGGCCATCCACTTCTCAAAGAATTGTCCAGTGAAAACCTTATGAATAGCACTGTAACACTATCTGATATATTACTGGAAAACTTTATGAATAGCCCAGAAACATTGTCCAATATAGTGTCAGAAGATGAGCCCCTCAGGTCGGAAAGCACTCAAAATATGGTTGGGGAACAGCTGCCTTCTCAGAGTAGAGTCAGTCTTACTGACGTGGATGATGTAAAGCTGCTGGTACCTCCATTTCCTGATGTGGCCTGACTCAAAATGAGAAGAAACAGCTACGAACATCCATTAATAATTGGAACATGGAATGTATGAAGTATGAATCTAGGAAAATTGGAAGTTGTCAAAAATGAAATGAAATACATAAAGATCAATATCCTAGGCATTAGTGAGCTAAATGAACTGGTTTTGGCCATTTTCAATCAGACAGTCAAATGGTCTACTATGCTGGGAATGACAAATTGAAGAGGAATGGCATGGTATTTATCGTCAAAAAAGATCTAGTCTGAAGTACTGTGCTGTCACTGATAGGATAATATCCATATGCCTACAAGGAAGACCAATTAATACTACTATTATTCAAATTTACACACTAACTACCAAAGCCAAAGATAAGGAAATTGAAGATTTTTACCAACTTCTGCAGTCTGAAATTGACCAAACATGAAATCAAGATGTGTTGATTATTACTGGTGACTAGAATGTAAAAGTTGGAAACAAAAAGAATCACCAGTAGTTGGAAAATATGGCCGTGGTGATAGAAATGATACTGGAGATCACAAGATAAAATTTTGCAAGACCAATAATTTATTTCTTGCAAATACTTTTCTTCAACAACATAAACAGTGGCTATACACATGGACTTGACCAGATGGAATATACAGGAATCAGACTGACTACATCTATGAAAAGAAGTGATGGAGAAGCTCAATATTTTCAGCCAAAACAGGGCCAGGAGCTGACTGTGGACCAGACCATCAACTGCTCATATGCAAGTTCAAGTTAAAGCTGAAGACAGTCAAAACAAGTCTATGAGAGCCAAAATATGACCTTGGTTACATCCCACTAGAATTTAGAGACCTTCTAAAGAATAGATTGACCAAAAACCAGAGGAATTGTGGGATGATATGAAGAACACCATCCATGAAGAAAGCAAAAGGTCATTAAAAAGACAAGAAAGGAAGAAAAGACCAAAGTGGATGTCAGAAGAGACTCTGAAACTTGCTCTTGAACAGAGAATAGCTAAAGCAAGTGGAAAAAATGACAAGATAAAAAAGCTGTACAGATTTCAAAGGGCAGCTTGAAAAGACAAGGTCACTTATTATAATGAAATGTGCAAAGACTTGAAGTTAGAAAACCAAAAGGGAAGAACATGCTTGGCATTTCTCAAGCTGAAGGAACTGAAGAAAAAATTCAAGCCTCAAGTTGCAATATTGAAAGATTATGTGGGCAAAATTTTGAAATAATGTTGGAAACATCAAAAGAAGGTGGAATGAATTCACAGAGTCACTGTACCAAAAAGAATCAGTCAATGTTCATCTATTTCAGAAGGTGGTATATGATCAAGACCCAATGGTATTGAAGGAAGAAGTCAAAGCTGCACTGAAGGAATTGGCAAAAAAAAGAAAAAAGAAAAGGCTCCAGGAATTGACAGAATACCCATTGAGATGTTTCAACAAATGGATGCCACAGTGGAGGCACTTACTCATCTATCTATGCCAAGAAATTTGGAAGAGAGTTACCTGGCCAATGGACTGGAAGAGATCCATATTTCTACCCATTCCAAAGAAAGGTGATCCTGCAGATAGTGGAAATTATCAAACAATATCATTAACATCACATGCAAGTAAAATCTTGCTGAAGATACTTCAAAAATGGTTGCAGCATTATATTGACTAGGAACTTCCAGAACTGCAAGCTAGATTCATAAGAGGAGATGGGACAAGGGATATCACTGCTGATGTCAAATGGATCTTGGCTGTAAGCAGAGAATATCAGAGAGATGTTTACTTGTGTTTCATTGACTATGCAAAAGCATTAGACTGTGTGGATCATAACAAATTATGGATAACATTGAGAAGAATGAGAATTCTAGAACACTTGATTGTGTTCATGAGGAACCTGTACATAGAATAGGAGGCTGTTGTTGGAACAGAACAAAGGGATACTGCATGGTTTAAAATCAGGAAGGAAGTGTATAAGAGTTGTATCCTTTCACCATACTTACTCAATCTGTATGCTGAGCAAATAATCCAAGAAACTAGACTATATGAAGAAGAGTGTGGCATCAGGATTGGAGGAAGACTCATTAACAACCTGCGATATGCAAATGACACAACCTTGCTTACTGAAAGTGAAGATGACTTGAAACACTTACTGATGGAAATTAAAGACTACAATCTGCAGTATGGATTACACCACAACATAAAGAAAATGAAAATCCTCACCACTGGACCAATAAGTGGCATCACGATAAATGGAGAAAAGATTGAAGTTGTCAAAGATTTCATGTTACTTGGTTCCATAATCAACACCAAAGGAAGCAGCAGTCAAGAAATCAGACAACGTATCTGCTTGAACGACAAGGAGGCCACATGTTCCGACCTCCTCTAATTCCACAAAGGGAAGGCAGGATTACCAGCAGTAACCCAAGGCCTATTACTGCCAGGCCAGACATGTTGCCTCCCTCCAGTCCTTTCTCCAACCGTTCCTCCCAGAGCAC